ATATTCACCATCTTGTCCTATATACTACATTACCAGTGGAGGTGAAGGCCTGTTCACGCCCAACATTTTCCTCATGGTCCATGATGGCCAGTTGGGTGCAAGCTCTCATGGAGGTGTAGATGAAGTGCAGTCTCTGGAGGGGGTCTCGCCCGGGGAGTAACTCAATGTAGAACTGGGCAGGAGAGTCTTTCTGAAGCCACCTCTTTCGCCTCTGTTGCTCTGGACTGAGGGCATCATGTCATGGCTCAGGCTGTTACTCTTGTTTTTCCCTGTTCTCTATATGTTCCCCTCCTTTTTTTCTCCCTCCCTGTGTATGCATGTGTGAGTGTGTGTTCATGGGCGCAGTTTCCACTCCTGGCACCTGACGCTAGTTCCACACCCGGTCTCAATCACATATCAGCAGTTCTACAAGAACCCCGGTCTTCTCTCCACTCATCACCAGATTGTTCAGTCACTTCTCTGATACACACTCTCGGCCGATCTAAAGATGTCTTCTAGTGGAAACTATTTTGTATGCTTCTCGTGAAACCTCCTAATGCTCTTTCTCTTTTGTGGCTCAGGATCACCAAAGCCAACCTGCCTGCCTTATCTTCAGCTCACAGGATCCCATGCTCAGTCTCAGCCAGTCACTAGCTTGTTACCTGCCTGCCTCAGTGCATCATTAAAAGACTATTTTTCACTCACAAACCCTCACATCCCTCTCTGTGACTGCTTTCGGATCCAGTTCAAAAACAAAACCTCACACATCATGCTGACATTTATTCTCTTCTCCATCTTCTGCCCAGTGATGCACACCACATTTGTGATGATGTAGCTATCACCATTTTTTTTTACAAAAGACAGAATATTGGAAATTAAATTACTCAGGCAAATACCTAACCTGGTCTGCACTATTTCTTACTAATTAAATAATTACAACACTTGTTTAAAATTGTATAAATGTATTTTAACTCACATCTGAGTCACCTCCACAAGTTGCTCAAGCATAAGTGGTTACAGATGGATTTGATCCAAGGTTGTATATTATCTTGGTTGTCCTTTCATTCAGACACTACCAGTGGATGTTTCATGAGCCCTGGCAACAAACCACACAAAATCAATTACAATTTTTATGCACTCTGAATAATCATTCTTTTACATTCAACATTTGGCTACCGCCGATGACTTACCCTTCACCAGATGTCAAACTCATGATGAGAGTGTGGGTAGTCTGATTTATGATTTTTAATTAATCATAATCATAAATACCACTATGTTGAATATACTGTATATGTTATCAAAAATATGTGATCTTCTACAACCAAAAAATGTAACAGATTTCATCCTCATTCTGTGCATGGTAGCTTATCAGTGTGGGTACATGGTAATAGTCATTTTGGTTGTGTAATGGAAATTTTACATTTGTGTATGTTTAATTGCATGAGCAGACATGTACTGTATGTCGAGGACTGACCAAATGGTTGACCAAATTGTTAATCTAAAAAGGGTAACCTTAAGGTTTACGATGGTGGCTTAAGAGACTTGAGTTTTATAGATTTGAGAAACCACAACTTTATGGTATCTCTTGGTATCTCTGATTGGGGTCAAACAACTGGGGTCTCACAGGGGGGGGGTCATCCACAGAACATGTAAACAAAAGGACAGGATGTCCCCTCCACTGAGTGAAACTACAGGAGGGTAATAAAAACCTTTGCATGCTTAGTGGGAGGGGGCTGAGAGTTATAAGAACACAGATTCTCCTATGTTCTTGGCTCATTTGTGCATGTCAATCAGGTGATGTGTACTAATGAGTCCATCTGCAGATGCTAAAATAAACTTACAGAAAGAAGTGTTTGACTTTGTGCTTGTTTCACAGAAATTGCCACCACCGTTGCCATATGCTGAAGTAGATTCAGTGGGTGCATTGGCCCTTTAAGAGTAAATCTTTGCTCTCTTGCCCAGCTCCATACATAAGGCCACTCCATGCATGCCTGTTTCCCTACACACCACAAATGACACATATAGGTCAATGCCCTACCAGTGAATCATGAGTCACTGGTGGGGCAGTGGGGCAGAAAATAGTTCCCCCTAGTTCTGACTTAAAGCAGTTCAAAAAAAGATTCCAGAGCTCTGGTAGGAATTCTGAGATGGATTCCTTTCCCAAAGCTGGTTGCTCTGTCTATTGATTAATCCCTTGTTGTTGGAGAATCTATGTATTAGGACAATGGTGAACCCTAAAATGAAATTTTAACTGGTTATGAAACAGTCTTATTTGAATATTGCAGCCTTTTTATGACTTACAACAGCAAATGAGACAATGTCTGTGCTCGGGACAGATTTCCCACGAGGTCAGAGCAATGGTTTAGGGCTATGGTTTTTAAGCAATGGAGGGAAGGCAGAAGCAGTGAAAGCGATCCAGGCTACGTGCTAGGCTAAACGCTAGGCTAACAGCTATGCCGTACAGACCAGCAGTCCAGAGTCTGTTCCAAGCCAACTCCAGGTCTATACAAAAAAGATGGAAGTGATCAGAATGATCCGTTGCTTTAAATCATGCAAACAGCTGTGTGAGGTTTGATAGTGGTATTGTCTCAGGTGGGATGTTCCATTTTCCCACAATAATGGGGGGAGAGTATGGATTTCTCAGACCTGTATAAATGGACCACTGCTCTTGTGGGAAAATGTTTACTGATGCACATTGTATAATTGTTGAGAGCAAAATGATCATTGGATTCAAAACCACACCAAACTTGCTGATCCAACTTGCATGAATGTCATCACGGCAACTCATTATGTGACTCAGTAGTGTGTGTGGCCTCTCTGTGCCTGTATGCACTCCCTACAATGTCCGGGTATGCTCCTGATGAGACCTGGATAAGGGCATCAGTGAGCTCCTGGACAGTCTATAGCAGTTTAGGTCAGGGGAAAGTAGGGGTCAGTCATTGGCATCAATGCCTTCATCATCCAGGAACTGCTTACAAACACTGGCCACACTGGCCACTGGCATTGTCCTGCACCAGGAGGAACTCAGGGTCAATAGCTCTGAGGATTTCATCCTTGTACCTAACAGAACGGACCCTCATTTTTTGACAAGAAACATGCACACCTGCAGATACAGGTCCTGCTGCTGGGTTGATGCCCTTCTACGGCCCTGTTCAGCTCCCCTCGAGTAACGACCGGTCCCTGGTATCTCCTCCATGCTCTTGAGACTGTGTTGGGAGACACAGTAAACTTTCACTGGATTACCTTTGCAACCTGATTGGGCTGCAGGTACTGTCTCATGCTACAAGTCGTGACAAGGTCACAAGCAGAACACAAAACTAGGGAACAATCAGTCAGGAGGTATAAGTAGAGAGCAAGTGTCTGAAGCCATCACATGTAAAACCATTCCCTTTTTTGGGGGTTGTCTTGCTTTTGCCTCCATTGCACCTGTTGTCACTTTCATTTGTATCAAAGCAAGTGAAACTGATTCACAATCACTTGTGCTTCCTAAATGGACAGATTGATATAACTGAAGTTTAACTGACTTGGTGTTATACTGTGATTAAATGTTTCCTTCTATCATACTCAATGGTTATGTTGAATAAGTTCTAATATCATTTGAAGTTTGTCTTTACTGACAAATGGGTTGATATTTTATGTATCTTTATTTTTATATGAATATTTTGATCTTTGAACCCCTCCACCCCCCATCACACTACCTCTCTCAGTTTGCATCTGCAGCTGAGAGACAGTGATCTGAAAAGCAGATATACAGTGATGCAGTCCCTGTTTCATGTTCTATCATTACAGTAAAAGCAATCCAAAGAGAGTTGCAGTGTCACACTGTTTTCTTAGTGTGTGTCCGGAACTAGCTACATGCGTGTCTTTCTTTCACTTATTCCAAAAAAAAATGCACATGCTGTCTGGACCAAGGTTTTTACAGGTGACAGTGGAAACACTACCGCTCTTGTCCACAGAGGCGCCAAAATAAAAAAAAAAGTTTCTATTAGAAGCTTTAAAAACATTCGACCTCAGTTTGCAGAGCCTTCATTTCTCATGTAACTGTTGTGTGATTGTGTGAATATATTTCAAAGCAGTTTTCTTAATGCCCCAGTGAATTAATCCCCTAATCACAGAATTTGTTGGTCAAAATAAGTTCTTTACAGAGCAACAAGAAGAGAAGGTAGACATTAAATAGAACATAACTGACCTTGTTTTTCATGAAACCAACTGTATGTGCTTGTCTTTCGCATTAGGAGTGAGTATTATTATTATTATTTGTCATTTTCCAGATTCACTTTATTTCTAGACAACGGACTAAAAGCATTTAGTATTGTGGAGTGGAAAGAATAAAACAGATAACATTAAAGACGAGTGTATTGGAAATTTGTCTTTTGTGTATGTATAATTGCATGAGCAGACGTGTATGTGGAGACTGACCAAATGGTTTATGTTATAGGGCAACTTTAGGGTTTACGATGGATTAAGAGACTTTAAATTATGGCCTTGAGAAACCACAACTTTATGGTTTCTCATGTTATCTCTGTTTTGGATCTCACACCTGAGGTCTCACTTGGGGAGTCTTCTGCAGAATATGTTAACACATAAAATCAGGATGTCTCCTCCACTGAGTGAAACTATAAGAGGGTAATAAATACCTTTGAATGCTTAGTGGGAGGGGGCTGTGAGTTATAAGTACACATATTCTCTTATGTTCTTTGCTCATTTGTGCATGTCATCCAGGTGATGTGTACTGTGAGTACATCTGCAGATGCTGAATTAAACTTGACTTGCTTGTTTTCACAGAAGTTTCCACCACACGAGTCAATCCTCTGTTTGTTATTGTCCTGTTCCGGATCAGCTCTGTCCAAAAACTTTTGTGTACTTTGGGTCTGGGTGCGTTGGTTTCTTCTTTAATGCTACAATATACAATGTTAGCTCAGACAATTAGTTCTTCCAACTGTGTGGTCACAGTGTGGGGGAGGTTGTGGTGTGGTGGTTGCTCATAGAGCTTCAACACTGAAAACTGTGAGGAATGAATGAAGTGGTAACAACAGGATCTGTCCATGGTGCTGAAAAGTGTGGCGCCTTAGGACTTAACACTGCTTCACTTCATGTCTTTTATTTGATTCAAATGGCAAGCTGGATATTAACACACACACTGAGAGCTTGTTTGAGAGATTGATTGTCTTCATCAGAAGATTGTAAGAGGAGGTGTCTCACGCGATGCAAACAGGCAGGGAGAGGGAGAGAGGCAGGCAGATAGAGATGGGAGGATGATGTCATAGTTTTCAGCCTGTGCCATAGAAGAGGCAGATGGCTGCAGCCTTCCACCTTTTCCTTCGCTCCTGTTTCCATCTCCAACCCCAGCATCAGCATCAGCATCAGGACTCTTCGAGGGCAAATGGTGACAGACCGCAGAAGCTTCTTATATTGACCGGAGGAAACAAAGCGTTCCATGCATGGGAGTGGATCATCAGCCGAAGAAGTCCAATGAAGACGTGATATGATATGGTCTTCCTTTTTGTCTGTATGTTGTATTATGAGCAGGCGGCAGTGTAGAGGAGCTAGTCCTGCCCAGAGAGGAGGAGGAGAGACGCACAGAAGGGTGTCGACGGAGAGAGGCAGGGGTAGTGGATACAGGAGGGGAGAAACAGAGTCAAAATAATACAGTAATAGTATAAGCTTCCAATAATGGCGGCTAAATCGGACGGGGTCCTGAAGATGAAAAAGAGTGACGTGGCCTTCACCCCCCTGCAGAATTCGGAGCACTCCGGCTCGGTGCAGGGACTCCACCCGGGCGGCCAGCCCGACTCTGCGGGCACCGGGGACGGGGAATTCGCCAACGGGGAGTCGCGGTGCTGCGGTGGCGGAGGCACCACCAGCCTTCGCCTGGGCAAGGAGCAGCAGAAATACACGGTGTGGGATTGCCTGTGGATCGTAGCCGCAGTGGCTGTGTATGTGGCCGATGTGGGCACTGACGTGTGGCTGTCGGTCGACTACTACCTCCGCCGCGAATACTGGTGGTTCGGCCTGACGCTCTTCTTCGTTGTGCTGGGCTCTTTCTCGGTGCAGCTCTTCAGCTTCAGATGGTTCGTCCACGACTTCAGCTCCGAGGACGGCGCGGAATCCGCGGCCGATTGCTCCCTCATGGACGGGAACAAACTGCTGAGTGGCTCGGCCTCACACGGCGACATCACTGCTCCACACCACCCGGCCACGCCGCAGAGACAGGCGTCGACCGTCAGCAAGAACACCACGACCAACAGCACCGCGAGCACGGCGCTGGGCGGCAGGAGCAGGAAACGGTCGGCCTACTACTCCTTCTGTGTCTGGTTCGGCCAGTCTGTCATCCACATCCTCCAGCTGGGCCAGATATGGAGGTAGGATGGAGGCCTCGTGGGGCACAGTGATGGCGTGTGTGTGTGTGTGTGTAATAAGTAAATGAATGAATGTGCAGGGGACTGCTCTGACAGCTGTTGGTATCAGCGTGGCCCCTAAATGATGCCAGCTCCTCCAGCATGGCTCCCAGCTGCCATCTTTAGCCTGTCCGCACAGGGCCACTATGCTCCTGTGAGGGGCTTTCAGGTCACTTCTCTTCTGGTGGCGAAAGAACACAACCGATCAACCATCAGAATGATAGCCTACTTCCCATCTTGTATTAAAAGCTCAGGGAGTCTGTCAGTCCCACCTGATGTTGAACAGTGAACTCTGCTCCTGTTGTGGGGTATCACTGTTCACCTCACCTGGGTGAAGTCATGGATTGGAATCAGCAATATCTGAGATAAGCAGCACATAAGGGCAGTTTGAGAACCACTTGCTGAGTCAAAGTTGAAGCCTGCAGTCATACTATTGTTGACCTATCCTGTGGTGCACATACTCGGCAGTGGTTGAAGGTATGCTCTGTTTCTTTACTTCAGTAAACATAAAGAATAGGATGAATGTGTTTAAAGCACAAAACTAAACATGACTGCATAAAATATGACTGCATTGTTAAAATGTTTAATGTGTAGGCAGCATTTTCTGCTATAGCTGTGAGAGGTGAAGTCAATTTAATCAAGGGACTGGTGGTTTAATCTATAACATTGCATCATATTAAACAAGATGCTCAAATGTGTTCTATATAAGATTGGGCTCTACAGACTATCGAGTATTGACAGCTGCAGTTATGCTTCACCTTCAAAATTGGTGTAGAAGAAAAGGGCCTCGTGTTTATATCTCCACACATTGTTCTGAGTTGCCAACATTTTAGTGCAGAGGTGTGCTAATGAAAAACCGTTGAGCAAGGTTGATGGTTCATATTAGAAAACATCAACTTTGAGAAAACAATCTCATTGCTAGGTCCATTTAGCTGCTAAGCTGGAGCTTTTGATCATATCACATGATCTTCATCGGCAGATTTACCCAGCTACCTTAATGAATTCCACATGGGCCTATAAGCTGTTAGACACTCTGACTTAGAAGATCCACAACTGAGATAAGGATTTAAATAGAAAATGTTGATTTAAAGTTACAGTGTGTAGAATTTTGTGATATATAGTGTTGAAATTTCATGTTGCAGCTGAACACACCTCACCTCATCCTCTCCTTCCGAACATGAAAAAAACTGTGGAAGTCTTTAATTGTCATAAAAACTCAAAGGTGTTTAGTTAGTTCAGTCTGGACTAATGTAAAAAACATGGCGGCCTCCGTAGAGAGGGTCCCCTCGATGTAAATATAAAGTATTTAAATATAAAGGGCCTTTTCTGGGGTAAAGAAAACTACAATTCATACAATTTACATGAAATGAACTAGTGAAAACATCATGAGGATTATTCCACATTATATTTCTGCTAATAGTTCCCTTACACCTAAATCTTACACACTGGACCTTTAATTTTGACATTAATGATGTAATATGTATTGTCAGTGAAAAAAGACACTGTACATTGATTAGTCTGATCAGTGTGTACTGGATATTTGTATCTACAGTATATGTACTATATATACAGTATCTTGAGTGTAGACACAAATCCATGACTGATACAAGATTATATTAAGGAGCGAGTGGTCACTGGTCACTAATTATCATTCTGCAGGACACAGCTCTACAACAGTGATTGCTAAACTTCCTGCTGCACCAAACCCAGAGCACATAATCTTAGGCTCCTCAGTTGAGCGTTATCCCTGGACAAAATATCTCTCTCTTGACCTGTCCTGGGCTACACAGACTGCATTTACTGTAGTCCCATACTGGGACCTTCAGTCAGTGTAGTGTGTATAGCTGTCTTTCAACTAATTCATGCTAGTTTATGCTTATTTCAGGGTTCACGAGTTTAACCTCGTTTGTTGACCTGAGATGATGTATGATGAGAAGAACCTAATGTGGGGCAGAAATGTGAGAACAGAACACATGAGCTTCATTTTTGTAAGAGTAGATTATTGTTAATTTTTAAATTAGATTGTAATGTGTTGTTTGAGTCATTCTTCTCAAATTGTTCCTTATGGACAAGATTGTTGACAGTACCAGCCTACATTATTGTTTCACAAAAAGAATTAGTGTAGAAAATTATTCACCATTATTACCCTTATTTATTATGGATCCTGGATAAATCTGCTTCTTCTCAGCTACTCTTTGGTGGAGGGGTTTGTTGATCTACCTCCTGCTTTACAATACTCCAAAGCTTTTCTGTTGGCAGGAAGTCAGGGACACACAGGTCATACACTTTTCACTTTACACGTTGCATTAGACATAACCCAGACCAAAGGTGAGGGAGCTGTGGTGTTCTCCGGTTTTTGCCATTGACTGGTTTTTGCATTCTGCACTGCTCAATGTAATCTCTGCCTGAAACACAGGGATTTCTCTTGCTCTTTATGATTTGAACCTTTGCTTACGTAGAATTTGGTTTAATTGTTTAAAGAGAAAATATCTTATACTGGAGATAAAGATGAAAGGTCTTCATTGGAAGAGACAGTTCTGGATGTGAGTGGATCAGTGAGTTTTTTTCCCCAGACAGGTGGATGTGAGCACACTGGTGGTGGCAGTGGATTTTATCAGTTTCCAGGAGCAAAGAATGAGTCAGAGTAAGACACAGCTTCACCTATACGGATATATCTTGACCTTCTATACAAATAAAATTGAATTGAATATAAAGGGATGCATTAGTTAACATCTTGAAAATTGGCTTATAGGAAGTTTAGATCACACAAATAGTGATTTGTTTACTCATTTGTGTGCATGCAGCAAAAGTGCAGCTTT